GGACCCGGGCCCAGGTTTTGCAACTACTCATGCTGTGAAGATTGCATGACAACTTCAGGTTGTATTGGATGACAAACTGTTAAAACAGTCTGAACATTTCAAGTACTTAGGAGTGAATATCGATAATCGTCTTAATTGGAGCGAGCATGGTTCTTCTTACATATCTTCTAAAATTTATCCAAAACTTAAGATGCTAAATAGGATTTCATCTTATTTAAATAAAAATGTACTTTTAAGAATATACAAACAGACTGTTCTAACAATATTAGATTATGGGAGCATAGTTTGGGGAGACTGTGGGAAGCGGAATGCACAGCACTTAGATCGCCTTAAGAATCAGGCAATGCATATCATTTTATCAAGTGATCGCAAAACTTGCACTCAGGATATGCGTACTAAGTTAGTTCTTTTAACTTTATCTAGTAGGTGGCGTTTTTTAAGAAAATCATTAATAATATAAACTGCCCAGATCATCTAAAAAATTACCTAGTGAAAAGATCGGACTTGCATAATTGGGGAGCATTGGGGAGCATGAAATCCCATTACCTATTAATTATATCGCTGCCTAATTAATCCCATATCAACAAGACCTGTCCAATTAAGAAAATAATTGGACAGTTGCCTATATGGGATTAATGAGTAGCTGTATGATTATTTTAATAATAATAATGATAATGATAATAATAGTAACTTTATTGTCTTTCATTCTAGCTTACCATTAAGAAACTAATTGGAGACACCTATCTAACCCTAATAAAATCCCTCAAACAATTCCATAGTTAATTATTACCTATTTCCTATTTACATTCCCTCCCAACACCATCTATTCATCCCCACCACTCTACCCCCTCCCCTCCCATATCGCCAGTGCAGACTGGTATATTATACACTCAATTGAAGAATCGTTGTCGGGTTCAGAAACATAGAACACAAAAGCTGAGACCGAAATGGCACATGGGATAGTACGTTAATTAGCATGCATGCTGTGAACAGCGACCCGTGGCACCTTTAATACGTGTTTGGCATTCTAAACCAACTGCATAGATGGCGTAAATGAATAAATTATAATATAATTATGTCATTTCCCATGTGCCATTTCAGTCTCAGCTTCTATGTTATATGTTTCTAAACCCGACAATGATTCTTCAATTGAGTGCGTATAAATTATATGTGTAGATAGTAAAATAGTAGCTGAGTACCACAGGTTTGCATTCCCACAAAATCAGATGCCCCACGTCTATCCAGACACTGAAACTACTATCAGGACAATCTGAGTTCACGGGTATGGAAAACTGCAGCACACTGCATTACCTATAACAATGAATTATTCAATAGATCAAGTAGAGACATGAATTAATTTAGACGCAAAAAGCAGTCTTTACACTCCTGAGTAGATAGCCATATGGCCAAGTCCAACTTCCTTACTTGATTCCTAAACATATTAATTGGATTCAGCCATTTTGAGCGATTTATCAAGCTTTGATAAAATGAAAGGACCCATATACCTTATACTGTGCCTCCCATATGTTATGGTGTTAAATCTTGGTATGAAGAAGTTGTTTGAATTTCTAAGGTTATACCTACACCTACACCATGCCATGGAAAAGGTCCAGTATATAGGGTGGGGCCAGATGGTTAGTATATGAGTGGCCGTGTTGTATCCAATATACAAACTCGAGGCGTAGGCGATATATTGGATACAACACAGACACGAATACTGTAGATTACTTATCAAACGTCTAGGTTAGGTCCTTTGTGTTTCACTAAAATTTTCAAGAGAAAAGTGAATCTGGCCAAGAAAATCCATCTTAAAGTTTTTACAAATGAACAGGATTCTGTATCTGATCTACAACACTCTTCACGGTTGTGATTTCTGTTGAGTTTTCCTCATGAATTATTAATGAGTTTGATAAGACCTTTGTACATAATTTGCACTATAATCCTGTAGCCTACAATTTTGCAATGTTGGAAGTTTTGCCTCCTTTAAAAGCTGCTCGTATGAGCTAGTCCTCCTATCGCAGTAAATGGCCCTTAATGCGCGCTCTTGCAATCGTTCTTGCTTCCTAGTATCCGGTAAATAAAAGCGCAATAAAAGTGTTGGACTGTATGGCAATAGTCCTAAGTTGCGATAGAATAAATGATTTATGAATTCTTAACTTAGCTATTGTTGGCAACATATTTCTGAGCCTCATAAGCATCCCCACTTTCTTCGCCCCCTTGCTACAGATATCCCTTATGTTATGGTTAAAGTTTAAATGTTCATAAATATTAAGTGTATAGCACTAAAGAGATGTATGGCACTAAATAAATGTATGGCACTAAATAGATGTATGGCACTAAATAGATGTATTGCACTAAATAGATGTATGGCACTAAATAGATGTATGGCACTAAATAAATGTGTGGCACTAAATAAATGTGTGGCACTAAATAGATGTGTGGCACTAAATAGATGTGTGGCACTAAATAGATGTAATGGCACTAAATAGATGTATGGCACTAAATAAATGTGTGGTACTAAATAAATGTGTGGTACTAAATAAATGTGTGGCACTAAATAGATGTATGGCACTAAATATTAAATGTAGAATTAAATATTAAATGTAGAACTAAATATTAAATGTAGAACTAAATAAATGTA